TACTTCAGATACTAGTTCTCTTCTTCTTTTTACGGGTCTATACATCATAGTATAAACTATAGTTAACATACTTTCACTGCTGCAGTTAACCTAAACGTGCAGAATTTCATCAGGGTGCATTGCAAAGAGTATTACAATTGCATTGCCTGTTTTAACACTGTCTACAGCCGCTCTCCCCCCGCCATATTTGTATCTTGCAAGCGGATAATGCAAAAGTGAAGCTGAAAAATTGTATTGCCGCTTAAAGAAAATAAAAGAAAATGTATATGGATGTACTACCAAGGTCACAGTCCCTTGTCTAAGTCAACATCATGAGCCGTCCTATGTTTTCGCGTTGAGATGTCTAGAGAAGAAGGCAACCGAGATTAGATCAGACGTACGATTGACATAGACATCAAAATAGATGGACCCCCATACCAAGCTTTTCAAACAGCACATTCAACATTTTTTGCTATATTCGTGAGATCTCATGTCAAGATACATGTAAAAAAAATTATCGATTTTTTGTATGTTTTGTCACTTGAGTATGACTTAATTAAATCTCAGTTGATTGAGATCTAGCCGCGCTCTTACTTAATTACAGGGCAACAATGCTCTACACAAGGAGGGAAGAAACAATTACAAGGGTGGAAGAAACAGCACCCCGAGACTAGCTAGATGGGGCAGAATAAACGTTGCAATCTCGCAGCCAGGTGAAACAACATATATAGTGCACTGCTGCCTACTTTTCTTCAGAGGATCGGCGACGACTTCGCGAGAAGAAAAGTCAAGGATGCTTTGTCTGGAACAAAAAATCTCGCTCTGATTGATGAAAATATATGCAGGGGTATTCAAGGGTAGCTGCATGAGACGCACACACTCAATTCCATGTGCAAACCAAACGCTGGAATGATAAAGAAAAAAGGGCTAGATCAGATGCACGCCACACCACACAAGCCCTAGCTAGGCGCATATCCATGGGCAACTTGCGATGGTAGACAAGTCGGGGCGTCGTTTTCAAGCATGTGCCGAATAGCAAGATCCGAGCATACAATGCGCTGTGTGCAATTGTGACACCTATATGTCTAATCTGGGTCCGGTTTATGTGTCTGGCAACAGTTCAACTGAGGCCCGAAAGGGACGCGCGCGCACTAGCGAGCTGTTGCGTTGTCTCTCTTGTCCTTCCTTGGATGCAGCATCTATCAAACAATTACTACTAGTAATATTGGAGTTTTGAGAAATTTTACTCTCTTTGAGATGGCTTGATTGCCGCTGCGAGAATTCTGAGTATGAATCGAATACCGTTTCCTTGCCATGCATGTGGCCCGTTATGCCGTGTCACACGGGAAGAATAATCGATCTTGGGAGGACACGGCCGGGTGGAGCATCTTGGTGGGAGGAGACGGGAGTGCAAACCATGTCTAGTGTCACCATCCAAGCAGCAACTCGGTTCGGATCCTAGTACGGGGAGCATACACGATTAAGATCAGGTTGTCGACGCACTCCCCATCATGCACGGTACACGCGATAACGAAATGAATTGAAGATGGCGTGGTGCGCGCGCGTGATGGGCACGCTACACATATTTTTTCCGTCGGCCACAACTACTAGCCCTGAAAAATGTTGCAAGTACGTATATTAGTAGCACCAAACAAGCCTCAGACAGATCATCAGAAGCAAGTGAGTTGCGCACGCGTAAGTCTGCACTGTGTTTTGCCAAAAAAAAACACATGCATATTACAAACAAACTGAAGTTCATCCATGGTAGCATTTCTGCCGAATTTGTGAATTTTTTGTAGCAAACGGCCCACGCAGAACTCCATGTGTAGTGGCTGAACCCTGGAGGCAGGAAAGGAAAACTTCGATTTTCTTTTTCCTTAGGGGGGTGGTGGTTATAATATTGAAGGTTGATCTCTCCATAGAATAATGAGTTGAATCTTCTTCAGTACTACCGTACTTTTGTCCTTGGGTTGGCTTGGCAACCAAACAGTCTGCACTGCACTTGACACTGCGCGCGGATATAATCCACGTGAGTGGCGTGCGTGTATGGCCTTTGGGTGGGGTCCTACGCTACTCCTCTAACCTCTAGCTACATGCATGGTTGGTTGCCCTGATTAACAATAGTGCAACAACAACATCACTCCAGTTCAACATGCATATAGTGTGGTCATGAGCTTATCAAACAACAGTGGCAGGATAAAGAAGTGTTGTCTAAGAAATATGCCAGTCATGCAAGCTGACCTTCAGAACACGCCGCTCTCATGTCTGGTCGGGGCCCACGTGTCAGCGAGCCGAGGAACTCAACTGATGGGAGTAGCATATTCTGAAAAGTCAATAATATAAGGGAATCACAGGTAGGTCATGCCTGATGCATGGCAAAAATGATTAGTTAGCATGAACCCACTGGAAAGCGGTCATCTTTAACTGATGAAAATATAGTACTCCCTCCGATTCATAATAAATGTCGTGGTTTTGAACTAACCTTAGTTCGAAACCGCGACACTTATTTTGGATCGGAGGGAGTAACACAAGTCTCATGGCATCAAACAAGCCTTAAATTTTCTCAAGCAGCACGCACAATAGACCATTCTGAATTCTGTAGCCAGGGACACATGCACAATAGACCATGGATAATTCTGTGGCGATATGAATTTATGGACTAATGCTACAGGCTGATCTCTCTATAAAAGGGAATTGGTTGAATCTTCTTCTCTGCTGTACTTTTGTCCTTTGGATATCAACCTACCCCAAATGCACTTTCGATTGCACTGGACAGTGCGGATATGATATTTCTCACCCACGTGAGTGGCGTGCGTGTATGCAGCAGGGCCGTTGGGTGGGGGTTCTACTACCTCTCTAGGCACACATGGTTAGTTGGTTACCCCTGATTAACAATGGTGATGCAGCATTACTCCAGTCCAACATGTACAGAGCTTAACAAACAGTAAGATTAAGTAACATGAAATTTTCTAAAATATCCCACATGTTTAGGTATATGTGGTTTCTAAATTAGCCGAGTTTCAAGGTATGCCGCTCTCATGTCAGGCTGGGACCTACATATCCTAAACCCCAACTTAGGAGAGCAGCATGTTCCCAAAGCCTCGATAATGATGAGGTAGTCACTGCCAAAGAATGTTCTTGCCCTGATCCATGACAAAATGATTAGCTTGTTAGCAATTTAGCATGGAACCAACCGGAAAGCAACTGTTCACAAACAGTGCTTAACATGTGGGGGCTAGCTGCACATTCTTCTGGGGTTCCTCCCCTTGTATATTCTAGCTGATAATCAGGCAAGTACTACACTGTTTTCTCCTGGGTGTGACTGTGACACTTGGCTAACGCGCAGGAGCAAAACATAAGTAGCAGAAGATTCGAAAGGCACGTGGTCAGATCTGCTAGATAGATAGGAGTAGTATATGGTATGGATTCCCTCCTGTCTGGACCACGGGCACTCGCACATATGCATGAATGGGGCAAGGGCCAACCCCAAATAAGACTTGCCTTCTGCCTCTGCACAAAATGCTTGTGTTAATTGCTAACAATGTGGCGTCCCTGCACCTCTCAACACGCTGCAAATCTTGGGTGGCTTCACGGTCCGTTCAGGATCAAGAGGATGCATCTAGAAGTCAACTACTAACTCCGGCAAAAACATACGCGGTGTTTTATAGAGACTGGACCATGAAACTGTTCTAACTTTGACTCCTACTATCAGCATATATCAGGTGAAATTATTTAGATTCGTCAAGTGAATATGATATATTATACTACTCCGTCCGTCCCAAAATAAGTGTCTCAAGCTTAATACAACTTTATACTAAATCTAGTGCAAAGTTGAGACACTTATTTTGCGACGGAGGGAGTATTACTAGATTTGTCGCGGACTCTTTTACTACACCTTAGTATTTATAAGATTTTCTCAGTGTGACTTAACATATATTCATACAAAAAGAAGTGTCGATCAAGAACACACACTGTTTTAGATTCCACTTCACACTTACTTTCAGTTGTCGAGCATTAGGCAGTAACAGATCCAGAGACCAAGTCAGTAGGCTGCACAAGTAAGCAAGAGGACGCAATTATCATCATGACAATAGTGACAACACAATAGAAAAATAAGAGCACATGTTTGTGAACGTCAAGTGGTTGTTGATGTGTGGCATCCAACAACAGCGATGGCCATGGAGGAGGATCTTATCTGTTCTACGGCAAAGAAGAAAAGCCCCAGCTATCTGAAACCCATTCCACCGGCTACAGAACGCCTACGATCCCTCGGAGCCACAGAAACCCCGGATTTCTCGCTATGGGTGCTCTTTTCTCTTCCGTGAAACGGTGGAAACGTGCATTTGTGGAGATCAGAACAAATTGCGGCCGACGAATGGTTAGAAGCATATGATGGGAATGAGTGAATCACCTGGCTGGGAGAGCGCGAGATTACCTCCCCGTTTCCAGTTCTGCTTCAGATTGAATTCCTCTTGATCACGGCTTTCGCTTTATCTGCCTTCCTGATTTCCTGTCATGTTGCCTTGCGGCTTCCACTATCCAAAATATGTCGGCAGATAAGTTTATGAAATGACCATGGCACTAACAATGAGATCCCAAAATGCAACTTATGGAATAATTATACCTTCTGCAACTTACTACCACAGGTGTGAGAGGGTTGAAAATGGAAATGCAAGGAAGGTCCGAAATAGTTGCTATAAGAAAAATTGGCACCACATTGACACCCGCAAAGATTACACGGTATCAAAGAAGTCTAAGTCTAGCGCAATAGAGACCAGAAGTTAAGGCCAAAACATTGCAAGATTACAAGGTTCTTTTCCACCTTTCGCAAGAACAGAATGTCAATGGTGGCCAAATAATTGGTGAGATACAAAGGAGCCAATGTAAGCAAACCTATGAAGAGGAGAATCTCCTCTGTATTTACAGTTCTACGACAAAAATATAAAAGATTGAAAAAACCAAAAAATATGATAGTACCTAACTTACACTATTGAAAACCTATCAGTGACACAGTGTGTGTCTCATATATCATAATCAACTTCCGTACTGTTCAGCACTGCCCCACTCTTGAGAAGCTGCCCTTGCTCATCGTAGACATCTAAATTCTCACATGGTTTTGGAAATACTGACCCGATAACACGGCCTTCGATGTAGGAGCATTGGAATATATGCTTCTTCTTGTAGCTGATGCCTACTGACATGTCCTGGAAGGTGATATCCTTGATGGGGATGTAATTGCTGCCATGAGCACGGACAGGCACACGAACACCCCACCCGTGTATTTTTTTGAATGATATGCCTGTGATATCTGGGAAGGCATTTCTGTCATACCCATCATCAGCATGCTCATTGTAGTCAACCTTTATCACAATTGCAGCACGAACATTGTCGAAGGTTATGTTGCTGTAGGAGATATTGCGGATGTAGCCTCCTCTTCCTATGGCAGTCTTTATTCTCACGCCTCGCCTTGAATCCCAGATGCGTACATTCTCCACCGTAACATTTGCAACTCCACCAGACATCTCACTGCCAATTGAAATTCCAGCACTGCACACAGACAAGAAAAAAAGTGTAAGCTTCACCTTTATACTCCACATTCTATGCAAAAGAATGTGAAGGCCCTGGTCTAAAACCAGTGCTTTGTCTTGAGCACCGGACTTGAAATAAAAGACTCATGCAAATAAATATTGTTTAAAAAGCAATATATACCTAACCAAAGATCGGACTGTCACATTGCGTATTAAGATGTTAGAAGACGGCCGCCCATATGCAATCCCATATTGATCCCATCCGCTCTTTATAGCAATTGCATCATCACCAACAGATATGTAGCAATTCTCAATTAGGACATCCTCACAAGAATCTGTACAATGCATAAACATATGTCAGCTGAAGATGCCTAATATGGTTTCAGTCCCAGATGATACTCCCTCCGTCCGAAAAAGCTTGTCCCTCAAATGGATGTATCTAGCACCATGCTAGATACATCCATTTGAGGGAGAAGCTTTTTCGGACAGAGGGAGTATACATCATTAGCAGATAGGTAATACTACAAATATGCAGATGCTTGAAGTAACGCCTGAACATTGCAAAAATAAATATAGGTTATACTGGAGTCATTAAAAATAGTTGCAGGATGAATACCTGGATCTATGCCATCTGTGTTCGGAGCACCGGAAATAGGAGCTAAGATTGTAACATCCGAAACAGTAACATTCGTGCAATCATATGGGTGGAAGTGCCAGAAAGGTGAATTCCGCAACGTTATATTTGTAATAACAATGTCCTTGGACCACATCAGTTGTACAAGTGGAGGTCTCGTGTTCTTCAGCATTCTTCTGCGATGCTTCAACCACCAAACTTCACCCTGGCCATTTATGCTACCATTGTGTCCTATTTAGCAGATTGAAAAGAAGGAAGGTCGTGATAGTTAAAGAGCTATCATCCAATGAATCATGAACATAGCATACCATAATTGTTCTGTTAGTAATTTAGTATACAATTGAGAAACAAATGCATAGTGAAACCACCAAACTTCAGGTACTGCTGTTTCAGTGAACTTGCGTATTCAGTATTTACTCATTTAAAGATCACTAGAGAATATGCTATTCAAGCTATGGATATAATGTACTACTTTTAACGAACAAGCGGGGCATGAAATCATGCATACCGAAATCAAGTACATTCAGATTAGGGATTAAACAGGTCAAGCAGTTGCTTTGTGTTATTGAAACAATCAGGCATGCTGGTATACTGTTACCATCACTAGATTGCTTAATATGCAAATTATGCACTTCTCTCACGCATGTTGCTTCATAGCTAACCAACAAATCCATGATAGGGTGTTGTAGATTACACAGCTTGACAAGTTGATATTGACAGCTTACTTAGATAAAAGGCAAACCTGTAATGACAACATCTTTCAAATTCTGTCCATGAATTAGACTCCCGAAGCGAGGTCCTTTGCGCTCCCTCCCATATCCGTAAGATGGCAGTGCTGGCATCAGCGGCCAATCCCTCTCGTCCTGTCCAGAAAAATATTAGAATCCCAGCTGGATACACCTGCTAATCTGAAATCTGTGCATGATACCATGCCAGAGTCGGAGATTCAGAGAGCTAAGAGTGACAGTTCAAATCATACGACATTCCACCCAACTCTGAACACATTCCAAATGTTTGCTTTCAGATAAACAGCAATGTTTCGCCAAGCTAAAAGAAAGATACATGGTATGGAAGTTGGAATTAAACAGACAATGTGGTAATTATATTGTGCAATTATTACCCACCCATTTTCCAAAATGGGAACAATCTGAACATTGGTAATTTGGTATCACTTCAATCTTCAGTCCTAGGGACACATCACACAACAACAAATCCTTCTATTTTTACCATTGGTCTGTTTATCCATCAAACCAACTAGTCAAAGGGATTTAATTCAACTACGTGTTAGCCAGCCATGATCCACGCCACAACTCAATGGCACTTGAAAAACTAACCCCATTGCTCCGGTTGTAAGTAAAGCTCACCGTAATGCCGAGGATCTCGGCGCCCTCGGCGAGGAACAGGGTCATGTGGCTGGTGAGGTTGAAGGGGCCCGTGAGCCAGCGGCCGGGCGGCACATTGAGCTGCGCCCCGCCTTGGTCCGCGAAGGCCGAGACGGTCTCCACGGCGCGCTCGAAGGCCCGGGTGTTCACCGCCCGCCCGTCCCCGACGCCCCCGAAGTCGGTCAGGTTGTACGCCATCGGGCGCAGCCGCGGCGCCGGGCGCGACGGCGCGGGCGCCGGGCGGGGCCCGCCCCCGCCCCCGGCGACGAACACGGAGGCGCTCTGCCACAGGAAGACGAGCGCGAACCCGGCGACCCACACGGCGGCGAGCAGGGTCTTGTTGGCGGCCAGGAAGGCCGCCGCGCTCCGCCGCTGGCCGTGGAGGTGCAGCCTCCACCTCCCGCCCGACGTCTCGACCATCGCGCCGCGGCGGTCCGCCGGGGCGAGCGGGTCCTCCCCTCTCCCCCCGATCTCCCGATCTAGGGCACGGCGCGCGGCGCGGCGCGGGTTGGGTCAGTGCGTGTGGCGGGGCGCGGCGAGCGAGGGCTCCGAGGAGGTGGGCGGTGGCGCGGGCTTGGGGAATTCCGCCATTGGAGCGGTTGGTGCTGGGATGGGTTTATAGGAGGGAAGAAGCCGTTTGAGTGAGGCGGAAGCGAGGAGCAAACGGGCGTGGCGTTCGCGGGTGCGTGTTCCCTGTCACGGGCGCCGTCGAGGGGAAGAAGACGGTGAGAATCGTAGGGACTCGTGGCTTAGTATAAGCCATTGGATTTAGATCGGACGGCGGGATCCAATTAAACCCACGGCTTGTTTGGTTAAAGGTAGATTGGAGAGTGGAAATAGTTTAAGGACGCCGATAAGTGGGCGTTAGGAGGTCTGCTCACATATTTTGTGTGGTGTATAAAAGGAACAGCCCACACATCTACGTGTGGGCAAAAGTAATGCTCACACATCTTTTTTTCCCTCGCGATCCCTCTCACACGCGTGCGTGTGGGTGAAATAGATAACGCCCACACGCCCCGTACGTCAGGCCTCGTATCTCGTGGTCCCGCATGTTCCGCGTGACAGTCACCACGCGTCCTGCAGTTGCCATGGTCCAGACCTCGTGTATGTTCGTTTAACTGTAGTTGACATGTCGCTGAACTTCGGTTGCCATAGTTGCTCAACTGCAGTTGCCATCTATGGTCTGCTCTACTGCAGTTGCCATGATTTCAAAGCTTTAGGAGTTGTCACCAACTAACACTGGGCAGTTGCCATGTAGCACTACAAAAAGGCAAGGCAAAAAAAACATGTTCGGGTAATAGAGAGAGTTGCCATGTGCTCACAAGCACGCTAGGGCAGTTGCCATGTAAAGAGAAAGTGTTGCCATCTGCTTACATGCACGCTAGAGCAGTTGTCATGTACCATGCAAAAACACATGGCAACTCGGGTAAAAGAGAGTTGCCAACTGCTTACAAGCAAAGCTTGGGCAGTTGCCATGTACCCTGCAGAAACACATGGCAACTGACAGTTTTGGGTGTGGGCGAGGAGACGGACGTGTGGGCGAAGTGATAAACACCCCCACATCAGCCCCCTCTGCGTGCGTGAAAACTGGTGTGTGGGCGAATTGCTAAACGCCCACACATCAACCCCCGTGTGGTGAAAAAGGACGTTTGGGCGACCGGACGAATGCCCACACACTAGCTTAGTCCTACGTGGCACACAAAAACTGCTAGAACGCGCCAAAATTCGTGCAGAGTTGGTTGGACGAGTATCCATGCGTGTGGGCGAGTTGGTAGGCGCCCACACGTGTGGGCGTTAGTGTTTTCGATAATTTAATTTAGGGGATGGTTATATAGAAATTCATCTGTTTATATATTGATGGCTTACCAAAAAGACTATTTATTCGCGCTTTGGGGTGGTAATTTATATGAAAGTAAGGCGTGGAGTGAAGACATCGGAATATACCTGGGCATATCTCGCTTGGCCAAAAAAAAGCCCGGTGTTGAAAACCCAGGCCCGGCCCGAATATCGGGCCTACTAAATCGGGCCTGACCTCGACACGGCCTAGTCGGCCCGGCCCAGCAATGGCTAAAATATTGTTTTCCGCAAGCCCGAACTCGGCCTGATCTGCCCGTCGGGCTCAATTTCCAGGCCCGAGCTTAACTTGATGGCACGCTCAGGCCTGGCCCTGCTTGGGATTTTCAGGCTGGGTCGGTTCGAGTTGCCCATGGCCAGGTATAATTGGACACATGCCATTCGAATAGGACGAAGGTTGGGAGGAATTGGAATGTGTAATATCTTGAGACTTCATCATCACTTATGTCATCATCTTTTTAACAGTTTTTTCGAAGATTAACTAACATGTCGCATGCCTAACTTCTCTACAACCCCCTCTTCCAAACTTTTAGCCCTTAATTCAACCATCTTGGATATATCAAGGTGGATCATTTCGCCATGTAGGAGAAAAGTGAATCTATTTTTCAGGAACATATGTGATGTTCATTGATGCAAAAAAATCATAACAATTAAATACAGGCATAAGACAAACAATAACCAAGTTACCTTTATCTTAGGTCATAGTCCACACAAGTCTGAATCGCCTCCAAGAGGTTTAAACATTGTTTTAGAAACTTGCTTACAACGCCAAGACAAAGGCTTCACCATTGACACATCGACCAGTGACATGCTTCGAGCTTGGTAGGCATGATGGAGTCCACATAAGACTGCAGGAGGAACACACCAGTCCGCAAGATCTAGTCGACCAGATCCTCCAAAACAAACCTTTAATGTCTCCATGTCGATGCCATAGACACGCCATCTTGACGGAAAAGGAGCCAAAGGGACTCAACGGTATCTCCACCCCCACCACGCCTCTGCCTGGAAACGAAACCTAAAATCACAGAGCACAAAGGGCCCCCCTCCCCCAACCCACCACCAATGCTAGAGCGGCACTCGCGGGTGAGGGGGTGGGAGAAATTAGGCGAGAGAAACTACCTGAAGCCGATCGGAACCCTTATAGTGGTCTCTTTGAGCATGCACTAATAAAAAAATGAAATGATTTTGCACACATATGAAACATAAGAACGTCTCCTTTCTCACATGAATTGAATCATGTAGTTCATATGAAATTTCTCATGAAATTATTGTGTTTCTACGGCAAGGTGATCCACTCTCCCCGTTCTTATTTTTGTTCGTTGCTGATGGCCTGTCTGCAATCTTGAGGAATAGGGTGGATACAGAGAATATTATGCCAGTCAAAATTTGCAGAAGGGCACCAGGTATATCACACCTTTTATTTGCAGATGATACACTTATATTTTTTAAGGCATCTCGTGAGCAGGCGGAACGGGTGAAGACTTGTCTTGATCTATATGCTTCGGCTACGGGACATTCCCTAAATTATAATAAATGTTCTATTTTGTTTGGTGAAAGTTGTCCAATGGTTGATCAACAGGAGGTGAGAGATGCTCTCAATATTCCCAATAGTGGTTTTGAGGAGAAGTATTTGGGGCTGCCAACCCCGGATGGACGTATGTCAAAGGGAAAGTTTCAGAATTTGCAGGCCCAACTTTTGAAAAGGTTAATTCAGTGGGGAGATGGCCATTTGGCACAACCTGGAAGAGAAGTACTAATTAAGTCCGTTGCACAGGCGTTGCCCACATATATCATGGGTGTATTTAAGCTTTCTTTTTCTGTCTGCGATGATCTAACCAATATGGTTTGAAATTTCTATTGGGGAGCTTCTAAAGGAAAGAGAAAGGTACACTGGAGGGCATGGTCAAAGTTACAACAACCAAAGTGTAAGGGAGGTGCTGGTTTTCGTGACTTTCGTATTTTTAATCAAGCACTTTTAGCTCGTCGGGCGTGGAGATTAATTACAAAGCTAGATAGCTCGTGTGCTAAACTTCTGAAAGCACGCTATTACTCACATGGAAAGTTGGAGGATACTGTTTTTTCCGGGAATGCATCCTCCTCTTGGACAGCAATATCTCATGACCTAGACCTGCTTAAGAAAGGGTTGATATGGAGGATTGGTAATGGACAGAGTGTCCCTATATGGCGTGACAATTGGATTCCAAGGCCCTTTTCCTTCAAGCCAATTTCAGCTCAAGGTAGATGTCGTATGAGGTATGTCTCACAGCTCCTAAATGTCAATGGTTCATGGAATGTTGAACTTCTACAGACGATATTCTTGCCATGTGATGTCGTGGAAATTTTGAAAATACGTGCATCGCCGAGGCAGGGAGATGATGTGTTGGCTTGGGGCCCAGGCAAACTTGGTACATTTTCAGTTAAGTCTGCATATGACATGGCTTTTGAGGAATCATGCAGGGCGACTGCCCAATCATCGAGTTATGCGTCGTGTGGACGACGAGCTTGCTGGAAGCTAATATGGGGAACAAATGTACCGCCCACAGTTAAGAATTTTGCATGGAGAGTTGCTGTTGATTCACTTCCTACATGGCAGAATAAAAACAAGTGTGGATTAGAGAAGTTTCTGTCCGGTGTGTGCAACTGAGCCTGAAGACAGTTTTCATGCCCTGTGTCGATGCCCACTTGCAGTGCAACTCTGGGAATGCATGAGTGAGGTCTGGCGCCTGCCGAAATTAAAGGAGGTGTCTAACACGGGTGTAGAATGGCTGCTGGAGGTTTTGTATCCTTTGGGAGATATTGAGCGAGCTATGTTATTATTCACTTTATGGAGATGTTGGCATAATCGGAATGAGTTGGTACATAAGAAAATTCCAGCACCAATGGATGCTTCGCGCCAGTATTTATGCAGCTACCTTGAGTCGTTAATTGCTATAGCTCAAAATTCTAATTGTGATCCGGTGAAAGGTAAAGCGGTGATATCTTATGATCCAGCGGTAAATAGGCCACATGAAATATCAAGAATTGTGCCTCCTGTTAAGTGGCTTCCTCCTCCCGAGGGTTGGGTGAAGCTCAATACGGATGGTTCCTGGACTAATGATGGAAGGGCCGGTGCTGGTATGTTGCTTCGCGATAATCTAGGCAACATTATTTACTCATCTTGCAGGGAGTTATTTTCATGCCGAGATGCCCTCGAAGCAGAATTATGCGCATGCATGGAGGGTTTATCCATTGCTATTCAACGGACGGAACTTCCAGTTTGTATCGAGATGGATTCACTTATAGCGGTGAACATGTTGAGGGACAAGGACATTGACAGGTCAATCTACGCGTCTTTGGTGGCAGTGATAAAGTACTTGAAGTCTCTTCGAACGACTAATATTGTTCATATCAAGCGTGGTCAAAATTTAGTTAGTGTTTTTTTAGCTAGTTTTGCTAGAACTGAGAGTAGAACTGTTGTCTGGTTGAGATCAGGACCCCAAGAGGTCATCGATTTATGTAAGCAGGATTGTACGTTTGATACTTGAGTATTATAAGTTTATCCGCAAAAAAAAGAAATTATTGTGCTT